AGCTTTCACATCAATGTGCTATTTAGCCATCTAAGTGGGTGGCATGAATCTGACCCCCCCCCCCAGTATTCATGTATGAATGCCAGACACTTTATTCACAGAACCATCTCTCTAGTCGCTGTTAAATGGAATTCAAAGGACTGATGTTATCACACAGAAAACCTTAAAGCAATTAAAATAAAAGAGAAAAAAAAACAGAGGGGTGTGTCTTACTAGGCTGCCCACCAACAGATAAATCTCCTGCCTCAGCCTCCTCTGTGCTGTATTTACTTACCATGCATTGTCAAAATTAAATTTAAAAAACAAAAAATTTTACATGGGAATTTATTAGCAAGATACTTCTCAAGATCTTCCCTGTATTATTTAGTTGTCATTTGAGTTTGTAGGATTATGATATTAAATTCAACTTTATATTTGCTATGAGGTAGCATAAAACTACTATTTTTTGTTTGTAGTCCCGTCATATTATTTTGTCTTGTCTATATTATTATTAGAATTCAGTATTGACATTTAGATGTAAAAAATAGCTCACTAGATATTGACACATTTATTCAACAACATAGGCTATTCAATGTTAATAGACATCTTATAGATACATCTTATATTGATTATTTTCACTTTAAATGAAAATTTTCAATAAATGTCATATAACAAGCCATATTTGATTCTTTTTCCTAGCTTTTAAAATGTATAATTGATAAACATGGTACATAATATACATGATGGGATGACTTGGTCCATGTGCACGTTGTGAAGCCGTTGCCAAGAGGAGCATTGATTACATCACGGTGTCTTCTCACAAGTGTCAGATCTAGCCTCTTATCCAGTTTTGACCTACTTAAGAGCCATTTTATCCAACTGTGTCTAAAATAATGGTCATTAACTATAATCACCAATCTGTATGATAGGTACCAAGAACTCGTTCTTCTTAAAATTGCAAAGTTGTCAGTTTATGTGTGGAAACTAAAAAAAAAAAAAAAAAGTTGAATCCATGCAAGCAGGAAGTTCAAGGGCAGTTATCACAGGCAGAAGACGGGAAGTACAGGAGATTTTGGTTATAGAAAACACTTAATCTTAATCACATAAATGATGAGCTGTTAGAACTGCCTGTAGGTGCTCATATTTTAACTTTAATTACAGGATAGTTTTATACGGATTTTTTTTCATATAATCAAACATATATATATATAAAAGTTAAGGAGTCATGTTTCTAAACTAGTTTCTGCTTATAAAATACAAATTTGAGTATACTTTTTTTTTTTTTTTATTTTTCTCTCAGTGCAGTACACATTTACTCAAGAAACATTTGATGAGTATATTTTGGGTACTAGGAAATCCGGTAATCACTTGATTTGCATGGACACCAAAGGGAACCAAAATGATTTTGTGTGTGAGAATCTCAAATGCAGTGTGTGAAATGAATGATGGAAACAAATATGTGTCATGTAAGTTTTTGCTGAGTGCTATTAATAAATTGAAGAGGAGAACAAGGGGGGGTCTGTAGGACCCCTGTGACTGGCCATATTGATATTTGGCTAGAATGGTGTTTAATCTGTGAACTTGAGGACAAGAGGAATGAGCCATGTGAGGAACCAGGTGGAAACTTCTAAGCATTGAATATGTCTTACAAGAAGGCCAAGAGGCAAGGAAGGTTCTAGGGATAGAAAGAGGCGATATGACTCAGAAGGAACTGTCCCCGGTGTCCCCAGTATCCAAAGACTTAGTGCATGACCCAAGTGGCATTTTTTGTATTAAGAGAGCAAAATGCTTAACTTCTTCTCTAGAAAGATGTTCTTTGGGCTCATACCATATGATTCTTACTCTGTTCTTTACAGGCCAGGACTTAACGTTTACTTCGTATATTCTTAGAGAGATTTAGCAAACTTAAATAAATAAATAAATAAATAAACTCCATTTAAAATCAGTGAGCGCATGAAATAGTTACTGCAGTTGAGAGTATTATGTTGGTGCTGGGAGTCTCACACACTAAGGCTGTTACAAGACTGAAGTTTTCTTTTTCTTTTCTCAAAGCAATGCCTTAGCATACCTGGTACTGAGCTGTCAGTCTTCCTGCTGTCTTCCATATTTTCCTCCATTAGGCACTTGCACGATGCCTCTGCCCCTCACCCAGGCAGGCAAGCATGACCTGCCCTGCAGGGGAGGTCAGCTGCAAATTCGGCCCTACACAGAACCCTAAACTGACTTTAAAATTAGCAAACTTTTTGGGTTTTTTTTTTTGTTTGTTTGTTTGTTTGATTGATTTTTTTTTTTTTTTTTTTTTTTTTTTTTTTTTTTGGTCTTTCTGTTTGTAACCCAAGCACATTGTTCTCCAGCTTGAACTATACAGATGGCAGCACACAGAGTCAAACTCCTGGCTTTTGACCAGAATTCTGTGAAGAGCTTACCTGTAGACTCAGTAGCACCCATGTAAAAAGTTGGACATGTCCACTCACATCTGGAAGCCCACATCTGTGTAGGAAAACTTGCAGGTCCCAGGGCCTCCATAGCAAATGGTCTAGCACATGTGGTAAGATTCCAGCTCAGTCAGAGGCTCTGTCTCAAAAACAAAACAAAACAACAACAACAACAAAAAAAACAAATTTATTGCAGTTATTAGCAATGGCAGACACTGGAGCTTGACTCCTGGGATTTACAGGCACGGACACTTGTGTAAGTATGCACACACAACATGCACACACAGGGGTAAACACCTATACACCTCCACACATAAAAGCAAAGAGCGGAAGCTTATGGGTCCCAATGGCTGCAACTAAATGATCTGAGTTAAGGTGCACTAACATAGTTTCTCAGCCCTTCTCACTGGCTGCTTTTGCAGGCTGTGATTTTTAATTCTGAATTTTCAAAAATTTAACTGCCCTTCTGCAACTGCTGTTTCAAAGGAAGGTGATTGGATATGAGTAGGGTGTGGATGTTTTCTTTTTCTGTCTCCCTGATGTGTTGTAAAAGGACTGTGCTTAGTTATATTACTTGTTCTTTTCTCCAGTGGTGTGTGTGTGTGTGTGTGTGTGTGTGTGTGTGTGTGTGTGTGTGTGTGTTACTTGGCTCTCAGTGTTCACAGTTGATCGTAAGAGTTGGGAATGAAACATTTTTGGACTTTGTGCCTATAAAGCAGAGGTCGGTTTGGGAGGTTAGCATTAAGGAAGTTAACATGTAGATAGAGAGATTGCATTAACTATTGTAGGGAAAGTAGAAGTCACTTTGGGAGTAAAACTCTGTGCTTGGCTTTGTACCAGTTCATCAGGGAAGGGATTTTTATGCAGGTACCTCAGGGATGATTCTTAAGAGTAGTAAAGGAAGAAAGAGGGAAATGGAGAAGGGCTTTAAAGACTTTTCTCGCCATGGATATTGGTTATTGGTGTTTTAAAATGGAAAACTTCAACTGAGCTCAGTATTATTCTTCAATGAAAGACTGGTGGGTGCTCCATGCAGACCTCTTAAGTCCCCTGATGTCTGTTGGGACTACGAAGGAAGAAGCCCGTTCGCTTGCCCTCTAAGAATGGGAGAGGGGAAGAGAACAGTGGGTGCAGAGAGTCTAGGTAATTCAAGGAATGTGTGTTTACTGACTGTTGCCTACCCTTCGGGCTGTTAGTGCTGGGAAACTGGGGGGAACCCTGGGATTGTTGGAAGTGGAAAGCCAGATGACCAACTCTGCAGGACGTTGCTATGAAAAGAGAAGAGATAGGACAAGCCAAGAGACTTTGGGAAGGAGCTGATAGATGAGGGGATCCGATGGAAAAAGGCTAGTAGTCAGAGTGGTTGGTTGAGGTTATAGCCTGGGTGCTCTTATTAATCATTAATCCAGTGTTTATATGTGAAATTGTTGAACGCACTGGTGAGCTTCACTTTTTTATTTATTTTTTTTCCTCTGTTTGGTTATTAGGACTGGTTGGCTCTCCAGATGAATACATTTGTTAATGATTAATGTGGGAATCTTTCTATGTTTTACCCAAGTCATAGACCTTTGACTGGGAAACAGTAAGAAGAACTCTCCCAGGGCCTGAAAGTTCTCTTTCTATCTTTAACTCTCCTGAAAGCCACAGGAAGTGATACCAACTTCTTACATGTGTTTAAAAACTGCAGAAGAGTAGGAAGGGGAAATGCTTGATGCTGATCTGTTTTACTTTCTGAAATAGGAAGCTAGTTTTGGTATCTGTTAAGAGCAGAGGATACCTTGATGGCATGTATCCGTCCAGGTCAACTGTATATAGAGGAGAGGGTATTCAAAACCTATGGACTTCAGTGTGTGGGTGGGTTGGGTGAGGGGGTTAAAAGCAAAACAGAAGCCAAATGTGTGCACACACAAAAGCTTCTTAAGCCATCCCTGGTAAACCCTCAGAATCATCTTTAAATGTCAAAATGGGATAATTTAATTTGGGCTTTGATTTTTTTTTTCCTGTCAAAATTTTAAACAAGTTTGCCTTTCATATTATTTTCTTTCAAATGTATCCCGTGTAAAGAGGTTGTAATGACTCTCTAATTTAGCAGGAAGTTTTCAATGTATTTACTTGAATTCAATAATTTTTATGTATAAATCCAATTAACAAGGCCATGTTGGCTAAGCAACATAGTATTCATTCACCAAAGGTAAAGGCAAAGTAAGATGCACTTACATGCTTAATGAGGGGTGAGAGCATTGTGTAATAAGTTCAGTGAAAGATTCCATATTGATGGAATGTGGGTTTAGTGATGGTCCATGGGACCACATTTTGTTTAGCAGTGACCCTCACATCTATGTGTGATAGCAATGTTGACGATATTTTCGAAATATAAACTTCATATAACAAGAAAGTGTTATTATATACATTTTCCCTGTGTACAGTGTTTAAAAAGCTAGACCTGAGCATTGTTTTGGCCTCTCGTTACTTCTGTTAGGTCTAACAGAGCAATGGAACACACTCAGCATAGTGACACTATAAACACACTTAAATTCCATGTTCACAGTACTGGAATGTAAGATAACAATTTTGTGTATTTTACAGAAAACGCATGTTTCAGAAGAGATGGGTGAAATTTGATGGCCTTAGCATTTCTTACTACAACAATGAAAGAGTAAGTACATTTTATAGTCTTCAAAGAATATTTTACATATGCTAAGTACACTTTAGGAAACTTCATAGTTTAGCAATTTAATGAATAGAAAACAGATTATCAACTTGAGAAGAAGTGGGTGGAATATGACAAGTATCTCTTATTAACTTAACTTTGCATAGATATGAACGGTCAACTTTTTTAAGCTTAAGTATTTAATAGTTATTTACGGATCGTCTTCTGTAAACCATAGGGGATGCTATGAGCAGTGTAGAGGTGATTACAAAACTGCCTTCACCCAGTAAAGCATCAAGGGATGTAAACAAATCATATTACAAATAGAAAGCTAAGAAGCAAGGAGGGGAGGGGGGTTGCCTCATCCTTTGAGACTGAGAAGTGATTTGATGAAATTCTGTTTGCTGTGAGTTTGGAAGAAAAATGAAGTATGCATGTGCAGAAATGAGAGATGATGAGAGTTATTTACAAAAAGAAAATGCAAGAAGCTCACACGGGAAAGTATTGGCCATTTCACAAAACAGGTAGTCATTTCTCCTTATTTTGTGAATGAGCTTTGTGAATGGGAGACTTGGGAGGTGATGGTAACAGGGTTGTGTAGTTAGAGCCCACAGAAAATCTTGTCAATGGATGTAGCAGAGGAATATAACGGGCAACCCTCCTCCTTGCTTCTTAGCTTTCCATTTACCATTGTTTAACATTGTTTTCTCACTAGAAGTTTATGCTGTATAATATTTGTGATTTTTTTTTTTGTTGGCTTGAAGAAAAGTGTCTCCTTACTGCCACAAGGCAGGAGAGTATATATACTTACAGACAGACACTAACCTGGCCTGCAACAAATGCTTGCAGCCATGCTGAGAACTGTAGAAGGCTTCAGGTTGTTTGGTTTCATTTTTACAGTGACCTATATAGAGTAACAAGTTGATTTAAACAAACACCCACATGGTTAGCAAAGCTGTGGGAGGAAGGTTTTTCATCATTGATGCCATATCTGCTATTTCTACTTTGTTTATATGTTTGATCATCTTTATGTTTCATATGTGTCCATGACGTACACAGTGAATTCAGTGTTCCTAGACTTGAAGGCGTTTTTCTTAGTGGTTATTGTTTTTTTTTTTTAAATTATTTTTCTCATCCACCATATGAATCATGTTTGTTTGGCCACTTTCCTGACTCGTCACAGATCATTCACACCTCCCTCCCCACCTAACTTTGTGTTCATCCATTTTCTTCAAATATAAGTTAAAATGAACCAAAAAATGTAAGATAGAAAATATGCCAAAATGAAACAAAAACCCACAAAGAAAATGGTTTAGCTGTTTAAAATTAGACTCATAACCAAAATGATGTCCTAGAAACTAATTGCCAGTTTCCTTCAAAGTCTGGGTTTTCTCTTTGGTTTTATTGACCTGCAGAAGAACTGTATTCCTGAGCAAGGAAAGCTTCCTTGCCTGGTGGCTTTGTTGATCCAGTTTCATGACTTCTATTTAAGAAGGAATTTCTACTTTGTTTTCAAGTGGACTGTATCATCTCAGAGCCCATTACAGTGTCACTGTTGTCACTTCAGATAGTCATAGTGCCACCCAAGTTGTTATTAAAAGTTTATAGTCATGTGGTTTCCTAGAAACAATTTAGCTAAACATTCTTTAAACCTATTCCAGTACTATAACTCTCCAAACATTTGACACACTTGCATCCACATGATTGATTTCCTCTTACCAAAAACCCTCTACCATTTGAGAGTTGTTTCTTAAAAGGAGGCCATTTGTAACCGGGGCCCCTCTGAAAAGACACGGACTTAAGGATTCCAGCTAGTGCCTTTTGGCTGGCTGTGCAGTTTAGCAACTGTGTGGATAGCACATGTGAGTCGTTGAAGATCTCGATGTGCCCCTAAGTGTCTGTTGGGCATCAGGAGGTGGTGTGAGAGGTTTCCGTTTTTCTGATTTTCTTCCATGTTGTCTAATGATTCTAGCATGAGGACTTCTGCATTTTATTACAGGAACCGTGTCTTCCACACAGCCTTCACATCCGATCCCCTGCTAGGAAATTTGACTCACCCCCATTCCCACTCATCTGTAGGAAAAATTGCCCTGTGGTTGTTTCATCATCTGAAAGTGGCAAATAAATGACAGATTTGACCTAGATATCTGTGTGGTACAACCTCAAGGGTGCTTTAAAATTTCTTTAAGTAACATTTCACACTTTTGAAAACAGGCATTTTGAGCCTGCTATCCATTGAGGATTTTTCTTTTTTCCTTTCTACTTTGTATTGTCTTTATATTGTTGCTACAAGGAAAATATAAAGTCTACCCTACAATGTTAAAAAGATAAAAGAAAAAAAAAAAAAACAAAACCTACGAGTTTTGCCTGGAGGTCTCATAATAGTTTATAAATGATAACCTCTGGCTTCCTGAGGTTGAGCTGTCACAGTATTTAGATTGCAAAATGTATTTTGATCGCTTCTTCACTTTTCACATTTCTGTTGCAGAAGCCGTTACCTGTTAAACATAATATCATTGCTATTTATGGGCATTTGTTTTTTTCTTTTTTACCCCTAAGTCTTTAGTGCTGTTTGTATTTTTTTCACTGACAAAAGGGTTACAGGTAGCACAGAGCAAACTGTTAATTATCTCATCAGAGAGTACTTTTTTTTTTTGTAAGGTGCTATAATTCTTAGTAAACTAAGCTTTGGAAAAGATTACCTAGGTAACAATGTGTAAATAATGATTTCAGATATTTAGAAATTCCCACTGGCTGGTGTCAGCCATGACACATGCAAAACAAATACACTCAAAACCTGCCCATAAAGATATCCTGCTCCCTCCACCTCTTTGGGTTGCCCTGCAGTGGGAAGATATTCTCTCTCTCTCTCTTCACTTTCTCTAGGACATTTAGTACTCTAGATTTGACTGCATGTTTCCGCTTTAACTCACGTGTGTTTGCAGAGTTTCCTTTGGTAAACGAATGGAGTTACGCGTTTCTTTGGGATGGCCTCTATTAACATTTGCTTGCATACTTTGGGCTGCAACTTGAGCCCCGTTTGCCTGGTTTCACTCTTTCTATGTTCGTTCTTTTCTTCCGTTTGAACTTCCTTAGCTACTGTTAGCCACCGAAACTGTTGTTATCCATTGAAACCTACACGGGACCTGCAGAATGGCTTACCAGGTAAAGCCAATGGCACCCAGGTCTGAGGGCCTGAGTTCAATTCCTGCGACTCACACACTGGAAGGATAGAATAAACAAACTCCAGCAAGTTTTGGTCTGACCAGCATGTACATGCCCACACAGACACACATAAACAAACAAACAAACAATTAATTAATTAAAAAATTTTAAACCATGTATAAATTTCAACCACCTAAGGGTTGTCCTCCATCATCCTCTGCTTTATCTTCTCTAGCTTGATGACAGTTGGAAAACATGTTGAAAGAAGGGAGTCAAAGCAGGAGAGGATGGTAATAAATAAGGCATTATGAATTGTGAAATTACGTACTAATATTTGGTTTTGGTTAGAAGTGATGAAAGCAGATTTCAAAAGTATTAAAAACGAGCATTCAGAGTTTGGTGTGATTGCAATTGATTGTACGTGGGATTCAGTCATTCAAAAAAGTATTCCTATAGCAATAATTGTAAGAAAGTTGGTAAGGGAAATAGATGAGTTACTTAATGTCTGCATGAGAAGACATCGCTAACCAGATCATCACATTTCATGACACTTTAAGTCATTATCTGAATTCCAAAGTATAGTTAGTATAAAGCAAATATACAAGTTGCTGTTAAATTGGAGTACTTGCACTGATAGCGGTCAGCCCTCTAGAAGTGGTAGGATGGAGCTGAGGGATGAGGTAGACTAAAGTCTCATGCAATAATAGCCTCACAGAGGCTCAGACAGTTTACACTGTGAGGATTGACAAAGAACACCTGAGTAAAGTTCTTATTAGCTCAAGCTATATACAGTCATAAGGACAAACCCACACATGGCAAAAACATGCTTTTCCACGGAAGCATGCAAAGGACAGTTTAAACATTAAAATGAGTAATATCCGCAAGCAATAATGTGAAAACACATGCCAAGAATCATTCTGTTTCGGAGAAGCTGAGGTCACATGACTCTAGTGTTGTATTTCCTTGGCATGTTCTTATGAGCACTCGGAATTCTCCTCAACTGACTCCATTCCCGGACCATGTTCCCACAACGAGGGTCAAAGTCTCAGAGAAAAGTCCCGGCAGAAAGGATTTGTTCAGTAGAGCGTTCAGTAGAGAAGATACCAGGTAGATGAGGTGCAGAGGACCCATCTTTCCGGAAGAGCATAGTGTTGCTCACAGCTATTCCTTTTCTGTCCCTGAGGGAAGAAGGCTATTGAGGGATGAGTGCTCCCTGCATTGAATGGTTTAGTGTAGTCTCCCAAACTGTTATTTTCAATATGAGTTTCTGCTCATATTGAACTGGAGTTTCTACAGGATGTTAGTTTAGACTTTGTGTTTACATGGCAAAATATTTGACATAAAAGGGATGAGATTCACTCCGGGTTGTAGTTTTGAAGTAATTGGTACCATTGGTTCTGTGGGAACCCTGAACAGCATGGTGGAGGCATGCGCAGCAGAACCTACTTCATGGTGGCCAACAAGCAGAGATCAAGAGAGCACTGAAGGCCTGATACAACCTTTAAAATATCCTAATCTCACATATGAAGAGGGCCAAGGTTTGTCCCAGGCACGCTCCCTAACTGTTGGTCCAGAGTCTGTGTGTTCCCACTGGCACAGGTCAGTTGTCTCTGTGAGTTTCCTCTGTCATGACCTTGAACCCCCCCCCCCCCCCGACTCCTGCAATCCCTCCTCTCTCCCTTCAGGAATACAGAGCTGTGAGCAGTGCTTGGCTGTGGATCTCTGCATCTGCTTCTATCATTTGCTGGGGAAAGGCCCTGTGCATGTGTGTGACAGCTGTGTAGACTTTGGTCTATTTGTAAGGTTCTTAGCAGTGAGCTGAGATCTGTTAGCTGGCTTTTGGGAACCTCTTCCCCATGCTGGATTACCTTGCCCAGGCTTTTATGCAGGAGGAGGGGCTCACTCAACTTGATATGCTATGCTTTGTTCAAGTCCATGGGAGCCCTGCCCCTTTCTGAATGGAGACTGAGGAGGAGTGGATGGGGACAGGGTTAGATGGAGTGGGGCACAAGCTCAGAGCAGGGAGGAGAAACTGTGATCAGTATGTAAAATTAATGGAAAAAAAAGTTAATAAAATTAAAATAAAAAAAATACCCCTGTGATGACACCCACATTCCCCCATTAGGCTGATTCCTAAAGTTCCTCCACATTCTACAATGCTGTTTCCAGTGAGGTCCCAAAGGCTTGACACATGCACGGCCTTGTAAGAAGACTTTTCCTACTCAAACATGAAATGTAGATGCTGCCTTGGAAGGGAATGGAAGAAAAAGCCAATGAGGGCCTTGGGAAACACTTCTGATATTCATACCTTCTGGGATGTGAGGGTGTGTTTTTACAACCTCATATATTTGACAGCTCTGCATTCTTCATTATTTACCTTTTTTATTTTGGAGGGGTGCGGGGGGGTTGTCTATTTCTCATTACCCTGCCTCTGTTATTTTTATTTGGTCTGTCTGATCAGGGTTCTGCTTTTCCAATTGACAGCCTAATGAAAGTTAAGCTTTCTAAAAGCCAGCATCGAATTTCACCATGTTTATAAAATACTTCTCAACACTTCATTAGTTGCTGTTTTGTCGGGGACATCTTCTTGCTCTGTATCTCAGGGCAAGCCTCAAAGCTCCCAGATTTGGGGATTAAAGCCGTGTAACGTCATCCATGCCTGGCTTTGCCTTACCCCTCATTCATTACAGAATGAAATTAAAAAGTGACTTGGTGTGAGATTAGTGTTCTGTGACAGTTCCCGTTGTGGCCACCAGATGCCTGCAGACACCGTCGAATCATTGTGAGCAGACCGATCTAGACACTGGGTATAGGGAGTAGATATTGCTGGTCTCTTAGTGTTATTTTTTTATTATGTGGTTCTTCTCCGCCTTTTAAATCCAGGCGACTAGAAAACTGAAAAGGCGATTTCTCTTAAAAGGACAGGATGCCTCGTTGTGTTTTCTTTTCTTTTACAGAGTTGAAAGTCAGTTACAGAGTTGTTTGTCACTTTGTGTTTTTGCCTAGAAATCATCAAAAAACGGTTGTGAGTCCTGAGCTGTTCTCACAAGATCTTCGGGGTTTGGCGTTCACCTGTCTTCATCTTCTTCCCTAATACAGGAGATGTACTCAAAAGGAATAATCCCCATCACTGCAATATCCACAGTACGGGCTCAAGGAGACAACAAATTTGAAATTGTCACTACACAAAGAACTTTTGTTTTTAGAGTAGAAAAAGAAGGTAAGATTATTTTCCACTAGCTGCCACCCCCTTCTCAACGTCTTCCTTCTAAGAATCTGTGTTACTCGGTCTCTCACAGAACTCACTATTCAGTCCACAAGGACAGGCGGGCCTTGAAGTCTGAGTCCTCTGGCCTTACTTCCATGAGCCCTGAGAATTTAGGCAAGCTCTACCATACCTGTGTCTAAGATCATTTTGTTATCGATATCAAGATACTTAGAGCCCTTCATTTCTTACAAATCAGGTTAATAAAACAGGCAAAGAAAAATACAAAGCTACATTTAACTCCGTTACTTTCAAATATTTTACCTTTTAAAAAGAGTCTTCTTGCGCGTACAATAGTAGAACCTACGTAAATTGGCGAATTGGCAAGTTACTCTTTGTGAGGTTACTGATACAAACAAGATCGATTTTATTTTTCTCAGGAGCTAATAAGTATGGGATAATTCTTTAAGTTGTAACTATATAACAGTGAAAATGGACAGAAATATTCTCTCACAGAGACCACTTTAATGAGTGATTTTGATAATGCAAAATATGTACTTAAAGCTAAAATAAGCAACAGTCCTAATTTTAAATGAGTCTTCACGAAATGGACTGGCCAGTGATGTTTGGGATGTAGATTTCATACTGACTGTACTCCCTGAGTTGTTTTCATGGGAATCGTCTACTCTGGGTCTCCTGGGGCAGAGAGATGGTCCAGCAGAGAAAGATCCTTGTTGCTGAGAAAGGTAGCTTGAGTTTATCCCTGGGGACCACATCTTGGGAGGAGAGAACTGTCTCCTGCAAGTTGTCTTCAGACTCCATACACACAAGACACATGTGTACCTCCGTTCCTAAGTGCCTGTGTTTGTGAGCTTGAGTTCTTGCAGTGCAAATGGGAATGCAAAATAGAAATGTGACCTGTGCTTTCTGGGCTGAGTCTAAAAATATACAGAAGAGTGTTTGGAGGTGAGAGGAATCACAAGATCTGCATTGTGCACTTGTTTGATTCTCATGATGTGCTCTGCCTATAACCCTTAGCAGTTTTAAACCACACAGGTTAAATTATAAAAGCTTGACCTTATTTTAGGAACTATTTCAGATAGATTTGCAATTGACCTGTTTTTTTTTTAACCAAATATTTTCTTCGTGTACTCTGTTTCAATAATAATTGCACAAGGAACTTACTGAATGTTGTGTATATACCAGACATTTTGCCAAATTCGGCATCATAACAACTTTTTAAGGCAGTTTGCATGAGCATTGCCTTACTTTCATACACAAGCACATCTAGCTGCAGATGGAAACTACTGCAATGCTAGGCACTGTACAACAGCATTACCTGTTAAACTACTCCACTCCCAGAACATGTGTTATCCTATGGCACAAAGAAAGTGCTCAATAAATATGTATTTCTAGAAAGCTCTCATTATTACTGAAGGTAATCACCATTGAGTGTGCCCAGCTGCTTGTCAGGGAGCAGTGCTTTTTAGACTTTGATTACTGATGATTTATGAAATCAAACTAGAAGCTTATGTTGATGCTGAAAACAAAAACGCCACACTACCCCTTCTGAAATAGCATCAAAAATATCAAAGAGCATTGCTTAGAGGGCATACTGTGCTGTGTAACAAATCTATGTCGACATCGCATATGGCTAATATAGAAAACAATTTCATATTTCTATATATATTTAAACATTTTCTAAATACATTTTTAAATGAAAGGTTATCATAACACTTTCTCCCTTCTATTTCCTCTGTCCAGGCCCTCTCAAATGCTCACCATCAAAATCTTTTCATTTTTTTTTCTCCTCAAGCTCAAGATAGCCTCCTCTTATTATTTTACATACACACACACACACACACAGACACACACACATCACGCTTATTGTTTTACACACACACACACACAGACACACACATCATGCACAATCACATGTGTACACACATGTATTCAGAATGCTGAGGTTTTGTTGTTTGTGTGTATATGGTTTCAGGGATAATAATTTGTATTGGATAGTCAATTCAGGTGCTCATCCCTGGAAGAGGCTAATGTTCTCTTTCTCATCAATCACCAGTTGCCTATAGCTCCTGTCCAGGGCTGTGGACCTATGAGAATTTCCCCCCTTCCATGTAACATGTCTGTTTGTATTACTATTGTTCAGATTGTGTGTATTTATGCTGACAGTTCTAGGAGAGGCAGTGTCACAAAAGCAGATTTTCTGGAACCCTGGCTCTTAAAAATCTTCTCTACCCCCTCTTCCTTCCTGTTACCCAAGCCATAGATACAGGAGCTGTTATGTAGATATATCCATTATGTCTGGGTTCTTCACCATCCATTGGTCTCTGCATTGTGTTTAGTTGAGGGTTTTTGTTTTGTGGTTTTTTGTTTGTTTGTTTGTTTTGTTTTGTTTTGTTTTGTTTTTGCATGATGGTCTCCATTTACTGTAAAGAGAAGCAGCTTTGATGAAGGTTAGTACCACTTATGGGTATGTATAAGAATAAAATTTAGAGTATAGTAAAGAATGTTGCTGGTCTAGCAAGTGGCTATCGCAGATTCTAAGACCCGTGACCTCGCCAGCCCTGGAAAGTTGGCTGCCTTTCTAGTACCAAGCATTAGTCCCTCCCGTAGAGTAGGTGTTAACTCTGATTAGACCTCATTGGTTGCCATCAACATGTGAGTACCATTTGCCACAACTGTATGGATTTCTTACCAGTCACTGTTGTGGTTCATAGGTGTCATAGCTGGGTCGGACTATTCATTGCTTCCCTACCTTGGCAGCTTGCATACTCTTTTATGGTATTATGGAAACTATACCGCAGGGCAGTGACTCCCAAAACAATATAGACTATGACTGTTACCCTTGGTTAACTCTCAGAATTTGAAAGTAAGCTCATGCTGCTGAATACACAGCACACTCAGGACACGGATTATCTGAGTTGACTTGATATTTACAAGGAAACAACACTAGCACAGAGATCATTAACCCGGCCTACAACCTAAATCTGGCTCACAGTCAGGGTTTCCACCCTGGAGTGTCTTCTAACACATTGTGTGTGAGTAGCCGCTTCTGCAACTTATAACTAAAATGCCTTTGCAGTTTGGCGTCTTTCACTTTCATGCTATATAATGTTTGGATTATTCTGGATGTCATAATAAAAATATTGAAACCTTCTGAATTAAATGTAAATTATATTAAGATAGTATTGCTTTGAAAATTGTTTTCCTCAGGAAGAAGTTTTATATTGACTCCTCTTGTTCTGGGGCAGAAACACTGGGGTGGGTGTTGAGTTAGTTCATGGCATTATGGTCCCTGTCATAGCTGTAAATACAGAATTTTTTCAGACAGGTGACACTGGGGATTTACTTCTCTCAGGGATAGAGCAGAGCTTAACAATTCTGATTGGGGGTTCGCTGTCCGACACTGTCCTCAGAACCTGATTGTCAGTTGTAGGTGCTACCCTGGGAAATAGGCTAGTCAGTCACTCAATGCTAGGCACTAGACAGCCCCACAAGTTTTCTCTGACTGTTATCCAAGAGGTTCTTAAATTAAAAACAGTTTATTTAGACCTGGTATAAGAAATAAACCCCTGTTGTTCAGGAGAGTTACAACAGGTTCAGAAGCAAATTATGAAATGTTTCCTAATTCTTCATTAGTTATTGTCTTTATTCTCATTAATGGTAACTATCTGCTTTGTTGATTACTTCATGGTATTATTGAAATCTCTTAAAGATGTTTTAGGACCACGCTAGGATTTCAAATAATGTCTTTTGAGGACATTGAACAAAGGAATGCATAACTATGTATCTACTTTTCACCATAGCTATGTTGGGATTTCCCAGTAATGCTAGTAACATACTACTGGGGTTGGAGAAAATAGCTCAGTGGTAAAGCACTTGATGTACTAGGGTGAGAACCTGAGTTCCATCCAGAATAGAAGCACACGTTTGTAATTCCAGTGCTGCCTACAGAAAAATGGGAAGCAGACAAAGGAGAATCCATGAGCATTCATAGGCCATCTACTTTGTAAGTGAACAAGAGCTTTTAATAAATAAAACAGAAATTCAGCTCAGTGTTTAGCTGGGGTATCTGCTTTTGTTTCCATAAGCTACTAGATGAATATTCTAGGATGGCAGATAAGTTAGTCATCAGTCTCATTATCAGGGAAGGGCATTTATGGTAGCCTCTCCACTGTTGCTCAGATTGTTAGTTGGGGTCAGTCTTGTAGGTCTCTGGACATTTCTCTGGAGTCTGTTTTCTCTTCAAACCTATAATGGCTCCCATTTTAATGGTCTCTCTCTCTCTCTCTCTCTCTCTCTCTCTCTCTCTCCCTCCCTCCCTCCCTCCCTCCCTCCCTCCCCTCTTGTATTTTCTTACCCCAAACTCCTGGGATCCAGATGCAGAGAGGGAAGAATGATAAGAAAATGGGGGCAAGACCAGGCTACAGAAACCCACAGAGACAGCTGACCTGAACAAGGGGGAACTAATGGACCCCAGACTGATAGGTGGGGAACCAGCATTGGACCAACTCAGACTCTTTGAACATGGGTCTCAGTTAGATAAGGGACCTCTGACAGTGGAACCAGGATGTATCCCTGGTGCACAAAAGAACTTTGGGAGCACATTCCCCATGGAGAGATACTCCTTAGCCTAGAGGCAGGAGGGAGGGCCTAGTCCCAGTTCCAAATGACTTGACAGATTTTGTTGATCCCTCCTGTGGAGTGGGATGGGAGCCAAGGGGCATGGGAGGGAGAGGAAACTGTGATCGATATATAAAATAATAAAAAACTAAACCAACAAACAAACAAAATACAACACAGAAAGCAAACACTGACATCCCAGATTGTACTCTGATCTCCACACTCCTACCATGGCAGCCATATGTACACACACACACACACACACACACACACACACACACACACACACACACACCCTCAGTATAAAGATGTCTACTACTCAGACATTCGCGAAGTTTAAACTCTATGTCTCTGTGAACTTTTCTGTAGCTTGA